ATAAACATGGACCAAAAAATGCAAAAATTAACATTCTCTCATCATTTGCTCATCCTTTGTAGAACACAAAAGAATATATTTCGAAAAATGTTTCAGTGTTTGTTTTTTCAGGTCCATGCAAGTCATTGGGGTCCAAAGTTGGTTTGGACCCTGTTGACTTTCAGTATATCAACAAAAATTGTTGAAACATTTTCATCTTCTTCTGTGTTCTGCAGAAGTAAGAAAGTCATACAGGTTTGGAAAAATATGAGGGTGAGTAAATGATGACAGAATTTTTATTTTGGGGTGAGCTATACCTTTAAACTGCAGAACTCGAGGGTTGACTTGTGAATATGATCTGAGCTGTTGTTGTGCCAGTAGAGGTTTTGGATATCACAGGATAACCTGATCCAGATGGCACATTCATGCAGTACTCTGAATAAAAACACATATCATTGACCTCCACCAATATTCATGCACACACTGTAAAAAAAAAAAAAAAATCATATCATTTTTAGAGGAAAAACCACAGCTGTGGTTGCTGGAATAATTCTGTAAAAAATACAGTAAAAAATGTAAACATATTTATGGAACAAACTGCAGTTTAAACCCTTAAATTACAAAATAAATAAAATAAAATAGAAAATCCAACAGCCCTTTTCTGTTTAATTAGAAAGGCCATGCTGCTACTAAAATGTGTTATATTGACAAACACCTTTTTTTACTTCCAAAATGTATTAGTATTTTACTGTAAAATTACATTAAATCTAAGGTTACATCTATATTACTGTTGTTCCCTGTATATAGTAAGGAAACCTATTTACTGTTTTTTACTGTGGTCTTTTACAGTTAAAATGACAATTTTGTACAGTTTATGCCTTCCTAACCCACAGATCTATATGTGTTTTTGTGACCAACAGGTATATGAAGAAGCCTACCATGCCCTACATCATGACTTACCTGAAACAATTGAGTCTGTCTTAAAGGAGGTGAGCACCTGGATCCTGGAGAGACTCCCCGGCCCTCATGGGTCTTAGCTGTCAATCACCGCATGCACACTTGCCTAAGCACCGCCCTTGTCTGAATCTTGCATCTCTACTGACCAAGAGATGTCTGATTGCACTACATGCCAACAAAACCACCCTCACTTTAATCTACCTAGGTGATAACATAGATATGTCTAGGTAGATGCGCTAGTAGCAGCTGTTTCTATGGGCTGCTATACATAAGCCGTCCACCATATTCATAAGCCTGTATGTCTGTAACAGTAGTTATACGCATGTATGAATATCTATATCTGCAATAGACTTCAGCAGACGGTTTTGCTAAACTAACACAATACAAGACAAAGCCGACATTTAAAAGGTACTATAGTTTAAAAACCTGTAATGCTGAGTTAATACAAACACAAACCAACACATTCTGACATGTGAAAGTTTATCCAGTTTCTTTAGGAATTAAAATTTCGGCGGTTTTTATATCCAGAGGCTGCTCAATGAAACTTCACCGTTCCAAAATGGCGGAAGCGTCTACGTGCTTTGAGCGGTCGAATGTGGTGTTTACCTTTATATATCGATGGGTAATAAGAAGTCATTAGTAAATGACCTTTGACCTAGAGATCCAATTAAGCTTTAATATGGCCAGTAAGGGTTCTGTGGGAGTTTATATTCCCTGTTAAACTTCAAAGGCATCAGCACTGCGGGGCATGGCTTGTGCATTACCATAGCAATCATCATGAGGAATATAATGTACCCGGTTGCCCTCAGTGCTGAGCTCTCTTTTGTGTTGCCACAGTAATAGAACACAGCCGCAATTTGCGCTTTGTGATGTCCACTGCTCATAAGAGATGCAGTGCTGCCCCCGCTGGACAACAGCAGTACTGCATTCTGCTGTGAGCGCAGTTACCAAGGCAACTCAACCTTATATCGCTTGTGGCTTGGCAGAAAAACAAACTGAACCTACAGAATGAGAATATGGTAATGCTTTGAGACATTCAGAGAGCAAAATGTCTGCTGGGCAAATGTAACATTGCGCTTGAAGAGATCAATTAGATGATCTCTACAGACACATCTATGCAGGAGATCCCACAGATTCCCATATATTCACTATATATACCCACAATAAGGAGAATTGGAAAGGTTTGAAAGTCTGTTCTAAATTTCTTTTTGTGGTTTGACTGTTTCAAACACCTCAGACTGTTCCATTCCTTGGAGTAAGTGGGGAAGTAGCTGTTCTGCAGCTGGATTTACTTAATATGAAACCTATTTACAGCTGATTCTTTCTTATGGGCTTTGGAATTGTAATACCTTATTCCTTTATTTTTACAAGCATTTCGTTACTTTGACTACTTTATTATTAATAAATATGTTACTGTTGAAATTATAAGATGTTCACATTAGCTTTTGACCTCATTGTAGACCTCAGGGTGCGCATGGGGTTTGTAGCTCAAAAACAACATGAAATTGTAAAAGGTCAGTCGTTCACACCAGCTTAACATATAACACGACTGTTTTGATTCAGACAAAGGAAGGTTTTGTTACAGAGATTCGTCTGTAATCCTCAAAGGCATTTTATCAATGACTGTAGATCAATGAAGGTTTTATTGAATGTGGCACATTTTTAATGGAAGCAACAAGCAAAAACTTTCTCTAGCTTAATTTTTTTTTGATTGATTGATTTAGATCAGTTAGTAATAATACTGCTATCTGTGGTGTGAGCAGAAATGAAATGTTCAGCACAAGATTGTGAATAGTGTGCATGTTTGTTAAGAGATTATGTAGAGGGAAACTATAGTTTGGATGTTTGTTTCACACGTAGAGCATTTTATTAAGTATATTGTCTCAATCATTTGAAATGGATCACTTGTACATGAAATGTATGTAACACTTCTTATGAGAATTTGTAGAATAACTAAATCTTTATAAGTGATAATCCTCTGTGACTTTGACTGTTTCTGTAACTGTTATAAAATCTTCCTAAAATGGAAGTACTAGGAGCACTGTGATTGGAGGAGAGGTTAATATTCTCAAGGACATTATCGTTACATTGGGCAATAATGCATGATTCATTTGGATTAGAATTGTCCATCTGAGTTGCTTGCCTTTACTATGGCATCTAAAATCCTCTCCTACAGTTGCACTGTCCTAGTAAATGGCACATTTAATATTAAAAGGGTTCTGAATTCTTGCATAAATACTGTAATATATTAAACAGATAAATTAAAGCTATAATGTGATTTAAATAATTTTCAGTATGGTCAGTTAATAGTCTCTGAATTGTAAAGTCTGTAAAATAATAAATTTGAAATGGTAAATGATAAGTAGTTTCTGTGGATTTTTTTATTATTCAGACTGATCCCAACACAATGGATTTTAGCTTTGCTCTACTGACTATTTTAATTTTATTTTATTGAGTGAGTGAGTGAGTCAGTGAGTGATTTTGTGCCTTTAACTTCTCATGGATATTAACAGATGATCCCACCCCAGTGATGTGCCATGACTTGGGTCATATGGTCATGAGTTCTGATTAAGCAGCAAAAATCCCCTAAAAACCCCTCCTATCCAATGCCATAGAGATTTGTGGTTTAGTCTTGATATAAGTGCCAGAATTACTTATGCCCGGAAAAATAGTTTATATAGTCTCCAGTGAAAATTCATTATAAGGATCTTTTTTAGTAACCAGATAGTGAAAAAACTAAATTACACTCTGATTTGTTCTAGAAAACTGAAGTCACACATCTATTATTCCAGTGGGCATGTTTCCCTTGGTGCACCTCTGTCCCAGTTTCTCCAAGGCAACAGGCTTGTGATTTTAGTGTCAGTCTTTAAACTGTCAGGGAGGCCTATGGTAACTGACACATTCACTCAAATTATATGTATATGTTTAACATATGTATAGTATATGTATAATAATAAAAAATAAATAAAAATGCGAACAGTGAAAGTCCTTAATGTTTATTGGTACCTGAAAGCATGACCAAATTTGACAAAATATTGAATAACCAATAACTGTCTAAGAATAACCATGCAAAGAATGTGTAGATTTTTGTGGATGACCAAAATACATCTTTTCTGTGAACTTGAGTTCTGCCCTAACACAATACTATTTCCTAATATTTCCTTAATATTCCTTTAATCATATTATGAAGAGCATTATGATTAAAAATATGATAAAAGGAAAGTCATGATTCACTTACACCTTTCCTCCATACAATAAAAGTGAATGGTGACTGAGACTAACATCTCCTTTTGTGTTTCAGAGAATAAAAAGGGGGGGGGGGATATAGGTTTGAAACAACATGTCAATTTTCATTTTGGGGTGAGCTATACCTTTAAGATGAGAGGAAATCTTCATGTCAATATGAGATTTTTTTTTACCCGGCAGGGGGCGCAAGGGGTACCTCGAGGAAAATGACTGGAGGATTTAAAGGTAGGTTCTGTGTGGCCATGGCAACGGCTTTACCTGCGACTTGAATGAAGACCCGAGAATAGATCGACTGCTCTATATTTACTGACAGGGAACTCCTCTTTTGGCGTGAATGTGTTTCGTGAGTTGTCCATCTGAGATCATTGTTCCTTGGAGCCCTTCTAGGAATCGACCGTTAGATCGTAGCCTTGCTTTTGTGCTTTCAAAGCAGCCCAAGTCAATATATCACCTTTCTTTTTTGTTCATAAAAGTTAATAATTTACGTTTTACGGTTGCATATACAACGCATTTATAGAATTCATGGCTCTATAAGTCTCATATGGAGGTTTCGTGTAAGACAGCTCCACCGTGAGGCTTTTTGTCATACGTATTCCTTCACTTGTATTTTTGGGAGAGTGTTTCCGTATATTTCTCTACGTCAAGCTCTGCTTGAGGTCAGAATTTGGCCCTGAACCCCCTACTACAGCCTCGGCTATCAACTCGCTTTCACCCACTTCCTAAATCTCGCATACTCTCTTTAAAGGGGCGGGGCTACTGTGTCATGCTGCTCTGCGATTGGCCAATTCCGACGTCCATCAGGACTTGACGTTCGGCTCGCTCTCGAACTCTGACCGCGCCCTCGAGGCTCAGCGGCTCGCGCGGCGGAGAAGGAGGGAGTGCGCGCCTCGTGAGGAGGCACCAACGGTCTGTTCTCACAGGAAAAAACTAGAATATTTCAGCTCATACATGGCGAAATTTGTTTTGCTCGACGTCCAGGCACATATCCATTCCGGACCGCGGCTCTGACAACGACAGGCGACACGAATATCTGCAGCTCTCAGAGGTTGGAGTTTACCGAGGGTTTTCGTAGCAGTTTCGTGATTGGAGGCGCGCGAGTGCCGGTGTCGTCGTCTCCGCGGGTGCCGTTTCGTGCTTTCCGGTGGCAACTGACAATTACCCCTGTTTCCGAAGACCAGAAGGCCTGTTCTATCGCCCTCCTGTCCGGTTCACCCGGTGTCCCTGTCAGCGCCGGGCCGCCTGCACACTCACCCCGGCGCGGCCTCGCTCCTTCTCAAGCCCCGGCGACGACGACACAGCTACCTCCCCGGTAGAACCCGTTACCCACACTCCTCTAAAACACCTGCTGTGTTTACAACGACCAAACAAAACAGAGAATACTTGGAGAAAAAACTGAGCAGAGAGACGGGACCCGTGCGCTGGTGATATAGACAGACGGAGCTGTCATACACCAACATATCAGCAGTTCTCTGAATTTACATAACGTTATATTAAGTTTATTCTTTCACGGGACTGGCTTATTCTCTTGTGCATATCCGTTATTAAGGTATTAGACAACAAAACGTCGCATATAGAAACTAAACACGCTTTGTGCAAAGTCAAGGCCTCGTCTGCTAACTCGGATAGCTGCATCGCTAACTCTCAGCCTGGGTTTAATCAGCTTCTAATCTTATTAACTGCACTTTTGGACTCGTACATCGCTTTCTTTGTACCATACGACACAATAGAAGAGTGATTTTAATTTAAAGTCGCTGGTTCAACGCACAGTACAGTATCCTTGCCAAGAGATCTGTTGAGCAGCAGGAGGAAACCCAGCTGTCAGCCTTTATAATCAACTACTCGGCCTGTTTAATTCCCACCTTGGGAAACAAAAACCGAAGAATCTTATGTGTTGGGCTGGTTTCAGCTGACCTTTGCTACCTAAATTAACTAAGTCCCTCGCGAGATTTCTTGCGCTGCAACCCCGCTGCATGCACTGATACGGGAAAGACTTGATTTATATTTTTGTACCATAGTTCAGGAGCCATTTAGAACAGGGTCAGATATCTGCACAAACCCCCTACTACTGTTTAGACATGAGTATCGAGATTCCAGTCGGTCTGACGGAGCTGCTTCAAGGCTACACCGTGGAGGTGCTGCGCCAGAGGCCGCCGGACCTGGTGGAGTTTGCCGTGCAGTATTTCACCCGCCTGCGGGACACCAGGAGCCAGGACGGGTCCGTGGCCGCCTCCGCCGCCAAAACCGGGGGGAAGGGTGTGATGTTTGATGGCGAGCCGATGCAAACCGAGTCGAACGGCGACGAGGATGACGAGGACGATGACTCAGATTTTGAGCGTGAGTGCCTCTTTATTAAATGCGCTTTATTACACCGCCTGTAAAAGAGATGATATTGCTGTTTGCGTTTGCTTTAGTGGATAGTGTGTTTGCACGTCTAACAAGGGTGTCAGATTTCTCTTGTGATGGGTAACGTGAGGAATAGCCTCATCTAGGCTGTTTCCATTGACACTCGCTCGAGCTCACATCCTTGCGCTTGATTGACAGAGTGACAAGTGGCATCCCCAGTTACCCGCGATGCATGCAGAATTAAGAAGGGCTAGACTGCACGCTTAATGGATTTGCATTAATATTGATGCACTTTGGTTTTTGAATAGAGACGGATTGTGATGTGTGTGTGATCGGGTTGGCGATGTTAGCCCATTCGTGCTGTATGAATTGCTTGTATGAATGGATGCAGGCTGGCCATTGAGAATGCTAACAGAGATTTTTCATAATGGAGAGAGGTGCGCTCGCGCACATCAAAGCAGCGCCTCTTTCCTTTCATGTAGAGCAGAGCGAGCAGCTGCGCTTTCCTAGTGGAAACCAAGCTGATTTCACTGGCAGACTTTTCTCAAGTCAGCAGTTGTGAATCTATCCATTGAGAGAATTCTGGGCCGTGGAGAACAGTTAGGAAAGAGGTGCGGAAATGGATACAGGGATTATAACACCTGCCCAAATCGCTTAATCATATTTCGTCAAAGCCGCATAATGCAGTGCCTGCCTATGACTGACTGGATTATGGCTTGTTTACATTGATTGTTTTTAATATTTAATTCTGTAATTGGTTTCACAACCTTTTGCTAAATAGAATGGGGAAGTCCGTGCCTATCTGTGTGCTAAATCTGATCTTAGATCATTTAGATTATGCACTTTCAGTGGTTTAGATTCCAGCAGGTACATCAGTCTCTTCTCACGTTCTAATATGCATACTTCACTGCTATATAGTGTGCAAAAAGCAGTATTAGAATGTCTGAATATGCAACAGTAAGTACATTTACATGCACGGTTATATTCAAGCTGCTTTGTCCAATTATACATGACACAATTTAAAATCAAATGTTCAAAGGATTCGGTTGGACTAAATCGTTTACATGCAATTTTAAGAAGACAAATGCATCTATTAGGCAAACAATGCTGAGTGAAACACTGCATCCACTGAGATTCTGAGGTGTACAGCAGTTTCATATCCATAGGAGCTGTTAGATTTGTAAAGTTGAGAAATTAAAAAAAGGTGGAAATCTGAGCTGAGTGGCTCTTTTTCTAGTGCAGGTGTAGTTACCAAGAAAGTTGTTGTTGTTATTTGACAACGCCCACGAAGATTATTTTCACAGTTGTTAGTACATCATTGGCCAGTGAACATCTGGATGAAGGGACAGTGCCAAGATGGCAGATGTGCTATATCTGAGAATGTTTTCATATTTCAAATTCGTATTCATACAGCCCATTTGAATCAGACCCAACTTTATGCACATTGTGCAGGACCCCCTTTTCCATTTAACATAATTTATTGGACTCTCTCGGTTTTAATGCAATTTAAAAAAAAACTTTTTTATGAAGTACACTCACTCAGAGATTTGTTTAGTAAGATTTTACCAGAAAAGATTTTAGATTTTTTTAATCATCAAATCTTGTATAATTTTATCTGCTGTATTTTTGCATTTGTTTGGTTTTATTTTGTGTTTGTAACTCTTGTATTATTCCAACTCAGCTTTTGTCATGAAGATAGCCTTAGATGCTGAGACGGCAATAAAAAGAAATAACTACTACCACTCGTGTCAATCAGTTAATTTGCCCGTCAGCATATCCAATAGGACTGGGCAAAAAAAAAAAAGATTTTTCGATTAATCGTTTTTTTAAGTCGATTCGATATCGATTCTCAAAAGGCGCGAATCAATCTTTTCCGGTATTTATTTCAGCACACATTTAAAACAAGATCTGATTAACGTGAATCTTATCATTAGTCTTCTCCACTAGATGTCACCCTTATTTACCTTGTGCGATGTTACAACAAAAAACCTGTCATTCATTCAGCGCTTATCATGGCCATACGCCTGATTCGCAATGCTCAGGTGAAATGCTATAGTAATACTATAAATCTGCAGAAGCATTTGATATCACGCATAAGGCGCCATGATTTCCTCAATGAATGAATGGATGGCGCAGCGCACTGTTTTGTTTACTACACACATACTAAAGCGCGGATGACGCTCGCGGTGTTTTCAGCTTCTGCCATCTCACTATATGATGATATGAACACGAATGGCATCTCCAGCGGCTCTGAGAGTCATTTCATTAGC